TGTGGGCGTGGAAATGCACACCGCCGACCGATTTCAAGGACGAGACAAGGATGTCGTAATTCTCTCCTTGGTTCGGAGTAACGAGAGCTGCAGCATTGGTGAACTCTTGAAGGATTGGCGACGTATCAACGTTGCATTCACTCGCGCCAAAACCAAGCTACTCGTAGTCGGAAGCAAGAGCACCTTGAAGGGTAGCGGAAAGGACGAAATGCTCAGCAAGTTCATCGGCCTCATGGAAGAGAAGGATTGGATACATGACTTGCCGCCTGACGCATTGGATAACCACTATTTTGACGACACGGCGACGCAGTTAACAGCCAGTGGTGTGTCTCCGATGAAGGTGAAGAAGAACACCAGTCCGAGAAAGGGCGTCAGTCCAAGAAAGGCCCCAAAGCTAGCCATGGGGAAAGAAAACCTTGGAACGGGGCCTAAGCGGGCGAGAATTGGAGAGAAGGTACTTATGAAAGATAAAGTCATTCTCAGGGATATACTTAACGATATGACGAATGGTGCTTATTGAGGATATCGCACGGTTTGGAGTATCGGCAATTGGTTCAGGATTATGAGATGTTAGGCGTTAGTTGGACTATCAAAGACGGAAATTCAGGACGTCGAAGGGTTCACAAAGGAGAGAATCATAGGTCAACTCAATAATGGCATTTCACATAATTACCAAATCATATGACGAGACTCTGCAAATCATGGTTCTTGAGGAAATCGCATAAGAGCTGTCCACCAATTAGATGGTCGCTGAGATGTATCAACAATTCGGGAACTTGATCTCAACGGGGAGGTTCTGACGCAACTTGACATCAGAGCAATAAAAACTACGGAACCCATTCACGTTATCAAATGCTTCCGTCAGTGTTCAAGACCATCCCGTTGAATGACGAAAGAGGAAAGCACTTGCCGGGGTTCAGATGCTCGAAGCGGCAGCGGATCGGGTGGAGTCGGCAATGAGCACGTGATCTTAGATGACTAACGATCCCGACATGGGTCCGAGAATCCAACTCCAATCCAACAACCTCACCCGTGAGTGCTAAACGACTCAACAGCCGAAGTACCGCGCGCCCGCGAACGCAACCCCCATCCGCCCCTCACCCATCACCGAAAATACGTCAATTGAGACGTCTTTACCTTCCACTCGCTCCTCTCTCGAAAAAGGAAACTACCTTTCTTCCCGACCCGACGATGACGGCGATACGACCGACCGCGGCCATCCGCGCCGCCCGCGCCATCAAGACCTCTGCGGCCGCTGCCCCGACCACGAGGGCTTTCTCCGTAACGGCCCGTCGCGCTGGTGGCGGTTCCGACTTTGATCCCCCTTCCGGCTGGCTCTGGGGCGTCAAGCCCGGTGAGAAGTACGAGAAGGAGGGCTGGGAGACGCCTTTCTACACCCTGTTCTGCGGAGGCATCATCGCCACTGGCGTTGTCCTTGCTTTCAAGCCTGATACCTCGTGAGTGGCCATTCTTTCCGCCGCATAGATCCGTCGACATGGAATGCATCGAATAGAACTTGAAGGGCTCAGGGTGCTCTCAATATCGGTTGTGCCGGGATGAGGCAATTTAGACATCAGGATTGTTTGATCTGTGGCTAACATTACCTGCCCGCACTACAGACTCGATACCTGGGCCCTCGAGGAGGCCAGGCGGAGATTAGAAAAGGAGGGCATTCTGCCGGACCCCGAGAAGTGAAATGGAAAAAAAAACCAATTCCTGCGACCACTTGCCACGAACAAACCACTGAATCAACTTTTTTCTTTACCCGGAGCTTGGTTTTTTGAGAGACATATCACCTTAGAAAGGAACGGAACGGAAGACACAAAGAAAACCGAGCCGCGAGGATGGAAGATGATGTTCTAGAGAAAGGATGGAGCGGAGAAACAGGGAGAGAAAGGAATATTTCCACAGAAGGGGAAAGCAAGCTCGCTGCCGATAACTTCTCACGGCGACGGTGTCTCTTTCTATTTCCCTGAGGAAAAGTGTATATAACCTGCCCTTGAACTAGCTTTCCTTTTTTTCACCGCCCTTTGTTTACTCAACCCCGTGAGGGCCTTTCGATCTTCGTGAGCCTTCTGCAATGACTAGATTTGCTATTGATGACGCATGGCATAGGGCTACGGAGCTTCGTGACAATAGCTCGAAACTCAGCATTTGATATTGTTGAGTGTGTATAGCGAGGAAGACATCCAATGGCGCTAATGGAGCTTTAGCGAGTGAATACTGAGGAAAGCTACTAATGTGACCCCTTCTGGTAAGCTACTTGTTCTTATCGAACCTTTGGCCGTCGTTTCAACACGGATTCATGTAACCCAAGAAATACATCTGATCAGTCATAGAAGGAGGGCGGTGGGTTATCGCCGATGCCAAACTCATTCACTACCAAAATTGAATTCCAGCCTTTTTCTTTTTAACAATCATATTGCACGCTTTCTGGTTGGATATCTACAAGTCTACATGCCGTTCTAACAACCAAATTTATGCAGCAACATCCGGAGCAATGTAGCTCCACTCGTGCTCTTCGTCGCCATACTGTCTTGCCTCCATCCAGCCCTTAATTCTCAGGGTGATCTCGCCAGACTCCTCGGCCTCGGTGAGACCGCAGTTGATGGACTTGCCCTTCCAGGCAATGGTGCGGATAGGGCTGACAATGGCAGCGGTACCGGCACCAAAGGCCTCAATGAGGCGGCCCTCCTCGGCCGCCTCGTCGAGCTCCTTCATGGTGTACTTGCGCTCCGAGACCATCCAGCCCTCGGGCACGAGTCTCTCGCGGGCGAGGGACAAGACGGAATCACGCGTGACGCCCTCGAGGATGGTGCCGTCGAGAGGGGCGGTGACGAGCTCCTTTTGGCCTGTCTCCTTGTTCTTGATGGCGGCGAACATGTTCATGGTGCCGACCTCGGTGACGTACTCCTCCTCGCCAAAGAGCCACAGGTTTTGCTGGTGGCCGCGGCTGGCGGCCTCGAGCTGGGGCACGATGCAAGGGGCGTAGTTGGCGCCGAGCTTCTTGTCGCCGACGCCGCCGGGCCAGGCGCGGACGGCGTAGTCGGTGGCCTCGAGGGAGACGGCCTTGAAGCCGGTGGGGTAGTAGGGGCCGACGGGGGAGGCGATGACATAGAGCAGGGCGGAGCCGGGGGGACCGACGCCGAGGGTCTTTTGGGTGCCGATCATGGTTGGGCGGAGGTAGAGGGAGTAGCCGCGCTCGTCGGGGATGTAGTGCTTGTCGAGGTTGACGAATTTGGAGATGAGCTCGATGAGGGAGGTGGGCTCGAAGGTGGGCAGGGCGATGCGGGCGGCGGACTTGTTGAGGCGGGCCATGTTCTTGTCGGGGCGGAAGAGCCTGACCTGGCCGGACTTGTCCTTATAGGCCTTCATGCCCTCGAAGCACTCAAAGGCGTAGTGGAAGACGCAGGTCGCGGGGTCGAGGGAGAGGTTCTGGTAGGGGACGATCTTGGGATCGAGCCAGCCCTGTTCTTGATTCCACTCAATGGTGAGCATGTGGTCTGCGATAAACGGTTAGCAATTGCAACATTGAGTGATGGGGAGTTGAGAGAGGAGGCAGTTGACTGACCAGTGAACTTGCGGCCGAAGACAAGCTCCTCGGGGTTGCCCAGCGTTCCGGGAGTCTTTGTCTTCTCAATGGTGAGTTTTGAGGCATCGAGGCCCAGAGGCTTGGCCGCAGAGGCGGCGGCGGGCTTGACGCTGTAGAGTCTTGCTGATTGCCATGCGGTGGCTAATCTGGGAGAGCTGCGGGGGACTCTGAGAGCGCCGGCGGCGCGGGGGAAGAACTGGCGCATCATGGCGATCGGTTTGTTTGGTGTTTTGAGTTGGGTATAAAGCAGAAAGTGAAGAAAAAAAGGAGGAGGTTGAGGATTTTCTCAAAACCTTAAAACACAGGAACAAAGATGCTCAGATAAATACTCAAAGACGGGAGAGCGAGTGTGACTCTTTTGCAAAAGGAAACCGAGATACCAAATCCTCAATTGCGGTCAACGGTGAACCAATTGACCAATCCAATGCTTGATAAAGGATAGACAAGTGTAGTAGGGCGAAGGGCGCAATTTGAGGATGGCGTGTAGGGTGCGGCAAGAGTCAGGATTTCGGAGCGTTATCGGACTTCTAAGCCGTTGCTTTCCATGCGCCGCCAGATCCAGAGATCCAAAATTGTTCGTTCAGGGTCCCGGCTCCGGAAGCGTCCCGCTATCTGAGGTGCAGCAGGTGCAGCAGGTGCATGGCAGCATGGCAGCATGGTCAGCACGCAGTACGTACCTTTCAGGTACTGATTTCAAGATGGTGGGGATGATGTAAGGAAACCTACCAGGTACCTATGTATAGAGCCAAGCTGTCCCAAATGGAAGATCTTCTCCGTAGCTTAGGTCAGCCATCCAATTGGTTCAGTGTCTTCTGTGCTTCCCCTAAGCTGCGACCAGAAGGTGGGCGCCCCCAAGCTCAGTGCAGGTAAAGGTGTGCCCAACTTATTTGAAGCCGAGCCTTACCTTACCTTACCTTAGACGCAGGGGTGGGCACTGGCAACTGTGGGATCATCGCTAAAAAGCATAGATGGTCATTTTGATTGGACTTGAGACGCTCTTGCCTATCAGCGACGTGGAAGTCGACGCGGCTGAACGAGAACATCATCTTTGGGCCAACTTGCCAATTTCATGTCACTGCGCCCTGCGTCTGCTGTCTTTTATTGAATTCAAGTCCATACCAACTCCCGGCGCATCTCCGGAAGCTTCCTCGATTAAGCCTCGTCGGAGGTCCCTCTCGACATTTCCAAAGTGTCCCCTCCGCGGTACCCTCCACCACCTACATCGCTCGTGGTCAAAGACTACGTTCCTCCTTCTGAGTGTAGGCGCGATTGACTTGACGAACGTCCCGACTTGGCGCAAACCCCATATCTGCCTCCAAACCGTCATGACGATCGAGTTCCCTCAAGTTCCGTTTCCTCCGCCTTGACGACGACGTAGACGACCCACGTTATAAGACATACCACAACCATGTTCTCCTCGGCACTCAAGTCGATATCATCGACCAACATCACCGCGAACTACTCCATCTCCTCGACCCAGACCTCGTCCGCCGGCCCATGGAAGATTTACGACTGCAAGAAGAAGTCTACCGGAAAACCATACAGCGTATTTGTGTTTGACAAGAAGGGACTCGACAACCATGGAAGCAGTCTAGGCAGATCAAGCGCGTCCGCCTTCAAGCGAGCCACTGAGGAGGTTATCGAGCGCCTGAAGAAGGAAGCCTCCAGCTTGGCGAAGCTGAGACACCCGAGCGTTCTCGAGCTCGTCGAGCCAGTGGAAGAAACAAGAGGTGGTGGACTACAATTCGTCACGGAAGCTGTCACGGGCTCTCTGGCGGCTCTGCTGCAAGAGAAGGACGACCAGGAACGGAGTGGTGGGGTTGGCGGCCGGTCGAGTCGTTATGTCACCGAAGATTCTGATGGTGTGCGCCGGCGGCGCGAGTTGGAGATTGACGAGCTCGAGATCCAGAAGGGTCTCTTGCAAATCAGCAAAGCTCTGGAGTTCTTACACGAGAACGCTGGGTTGGTGCACGGAAACCTGACACCAGACGCCATCATCGTGAACGCCAAGGTCAGTGCAGCCTATTGGTCTTGATAACCATGCACTGTTGCTGACTCGAAACAGTCCGATTGGAAAATCAGTGGTCTCGCTTTCTGCGCGCCGTCAGAGGGATCCAACAAGCCGACCTCCTTTCAACCCATCAGCCTGTCAGAGGTGCTCAACCCAGACCCTCGACTGCCTCGTTTTGTGCAGCTGAACCTCGACTACACCTCTCCCGACTTTGTCATTGACAACAACTTTACCCACTTTGCCGACATGTTCTCATTAGGTCTCCTAGCCGTGGCCCTTTACAACTCACCACATCAGTCTCCCATCGAAGCTCACGGCAGCTTATCAACATACAAGAGAACATTCGCCTCGTCATCCACAGTACCGTCTGCTACCAACCAATTCTTATCATCACGACCTTTACCCAAGGAGCTGGTTCAACATGTTTTGCCGCGCCTGATAACACGACGACCTGCTCAGCGTCTCACAGCAAAGGAATTTCAAGAAAGTGAATACTTCAACAACGTGCTTGTTTCGACAATCAGGTTTTTGGACGCTTTCCCAGCAAAGACTCCAAACGAGAAGGCTCAGTTCATGAGGGGACTAGTCAAGGTTATGCCTTCATTCCCCAAGACTGTTATGGAGAAGAAGTTATTACCAGCGTTGCTTGAAGAGATGAAAGACAAGGATCTTATAGCGTTGATTCTTCAAAACGTCTTCACCATCGTTGATTTACTACCCTCTGCGAGGAGGGTGTTTGCCGAAAAAGTACGGCCAGCATTGAAAGCAACATTTGCCCCACCCCCGAAGAAGGACCAGGCTCCTGAGAGGGACCCGACGAAGGATGCTGGGTTGATGGTTGTGCTCGAACACATGTCTACAATCTGCAACAACTGCAATGGCAAGGAATTCACTGATGGTAACAACACCCACAACATGAAAATATCTAGCGGGACTGACAGCTATTTAGATATCTTGCCCGTTGTTTACGCAGCAATCGAAGCACCAACACCGGCCGTTGTTGACGCGGCCCTGAGAGGTCTACCTTCTATTCTACCAGTTCTCGACTTTAGCACCATCAAGAATGAGCTATTCCCAGTCATTGCGGCCGTGTTTAGCAAAACGAGTAGTTTGGCCATCAAGGTGCGCGGCTGCCAAGCATTCGTCGTCCTGTGTGGCGGAACATCCGACGCGGAAGACGATGGCCTCGATGCTTTCGGTACTTCAAAGAAGAAATCAACTTCGTCCTCTAGCATGCTGGATAAATATACCATGCAGGAGAAGATCATCCCGTTGATCAAGGCTATCAAAACGAAAGAGCCTGCGGTCATGATGGCAGCCCACGGCGTTCTGCGAGTTGTAGGTGAAGCAGCCGATGCCGAGTTTGTGGCGATTGACATCCTTCCCATTCTGTGGCATATGAGTCTCGGCCCTTTGCTCAATCTCAAACAGTTCCAGAGCTTCATGGACCTTATCAAGAAGTTGTCCAAAAGAGTGGAAGACGAACAGACTAGGAAGTTGCAAGAGCTCTCTGGTACCAACGGCAGCACTGCCGGGGCTAATGAGGACTTCATGGCCTTTGGCGGCGTCAGTGGGACCTCTTTTGATGCCTCCAATGGAGCGACAGAAGACGATTTTGAGAGCCTTGTCAAGGGCAAAACGACACGAACGTCAACTTCGGATGCATTCTCTAGCTGGGAAGAGCCACCCGCTGCGGCAGCCAGAGTTACCTCGCCCGCGCCCGGGAGTAGGTCAGCAACTCCGGCCTTTGCGTGGTCAACTCCGAGTCCTACTCAGACAGCACCACCTCCAGCGCCTAAGCCTCAACCTAGTTTCCGGACGGTGACGCCTGACATGGGTTCTTTCCAAACCATGACTCCAACATCGACTCAATTCTCTAAACCTCTGCAGCCAACTTCGCCAATGTCGCAGCCAGCGGCACAGCCCAGCTCATCCATCAACTGGTCCACGGCGTCGGCAGCAACTTCTAATCCGTGGTCGTCGTCGTCAACATCAACGCCGGCCTTCTCGGCCGGTAACTCCATGTCGCCACCTCCGAGCTCCGCTTTTGGTGGAATGAGTACGCCCATGTCCAACATGTCGCTCGGTGGGCAAAGACCAGGCATGTCACAGTCATCTTCGTTTTCCCTGCCGCCACCGCCCGCCGGTAATTCGACGGGTGGCTTTTCCGGATCTTCCGGGTTTAGCCTACCGCCGCCTCCCAGTCACACGCCGCCTGTGCAATCAGGCTTGAGCGCTTTCAGCAAACCTGTAGCTAGCACTGGCATGGGCATGATGAGTCAACAATCGATGAATGGCCTGAACAGTATCGGCTCGCGGCCTGGTATGGGTATGAGCATGGCGTCTAGCGGCAGCATGAATAGTATGATGAACAGTAACATGGGTATGAACGGTGTGGCTGGCCTTCAGCAACAGCAGCAGCAACAGCAGCAGAAGCCCCAGCAGAAGAGCGGGTTGGATAAGTACGAGAGTCTAATTTAGGGGGCTTTCTCTGGAAATAGCACAGCTTTGGTTGCAGTCAGGGCATCCCAGAGTTGTTTACATGATACACACATGAGTTGATACTTTGTAGAGTTGCGCAATTCAGGGCGTTGAGGGACCGTGCCGGACATATCTTCATCGGTCGAAGAGAAAATGCCATATGATTCTGAGTTGATGTGTATATGTGCCATTTAAGAGCAAAACAGTAACTCGCTATTACCTACTGATATTGCTAAGAGAGTCGGGGATGAGGAAACTCTCACGACTCAAGGGGTTACGGATGGCGCGATAGCAAAAACCGAAGCAAAAGCGGAATTAGTGTTTGTGGGCCGAGAGTCCCCCCCGCAAAGTCAACATTTTTTGCGAGTTGCGTGGACTGAACAGGTTTGTTGGCGTGGCACATGACGAACGAAAGGGTCAGGTAGATTTTGCCGGTGTGAAGTCTGCCAAGAACGGAGCGCTGATGCGATGAAGCCCTGTCGACTCTTTCAACCATGGTACATAATCCAGAGTCGTCGCTCGCTCTGGTCGGACAAGATGGATTTCATTACAAGTGATAACTCGAGCATAATTATGGCACTTTGTTTGAATGAATGGTGTGGTTTGGGAAAGGAACGGATATGTTTCATGAATGGGGGAGAGCAAAGGCTTGTCCATGATGCGATGATTTGCGGAGAGAGTGACACCTGCGGTCCCCGCCCGGAGGCGTTTAGTTACGCAAATCCATGTTCAAGAGTCGCCGACCACTTTCTTGACGGTTCGCCATGCTTTGCTGTTTCTACGTCCTTTCTGGGGTTGAGCCCATCACGTTCAAGCAGACATCAGAACTCATCTTCTTGGAAAGACACATCGATGGAAAACATTAAAAAATAGATGGCCATTAGGGACTCAAGGATACGGGCGTAAAGTACCTAGCCTGTGAGGGAGTATCATCACGTTCCCGATGATGTCTATCTGTAGATCATCATGGCACTCCATCACTTCAGACAAGTGTAATACATTCAGGTTTACCGCCGTGCCGCCCAAGTTTTGGCTTATGATTGAAATAAAGGAAACTGGGTTTACCTCCTCCCCCTTCTGACAGAAAGCAGTAAGAAGGGGGCGTCCAGCACGACTGGCAAGCCTGGGCTGGCATTGGGTTGGATTTGGTCAATTAGTGTTTGTTCTGGGTAACGCAACCAGCCGGGTGTGTGATGGTGGGCGACCGAACGAACCGCGCCGGTCAGTCACATGCAGGACGGAGCCCTTCGAGTGAGGTGAAAGGTAGGGCATTAAAATTGGCGCTGGCTCTAAACACTCGTTTACCGGCCGTTTAGAGAAAGATACCTACTGCTGCGGCATATGATTGTCGTTGCATATTTGGGGATGGGGGGAAGGGGGGGTGGTGGAGGGCTGAGCCACGGTTCTCCTTGAATGTAGAGGTATCGGATGGCTTCCTTTGAGTTATGTTGGTAAAGTCGTGTTGGTGGTAACTGATGGGAATGAAGGTTCTGTCAAACGAGAGAGATTGTTTCTTTCATAAAGGACTGGTATTGTTCAGAGAACCGGGCGGTGAAGCATCTGGTTTGAACTATTTCATGTTCGTTCGGATGAGTTGATTCCCATTGTGATGGAGTCCGGCAAGTTTAGATAAGGGGGTGAGTACATTCCTTGACGCCAAGGGGGTTAATCATCCTGGGAGCGTCACTCGCTCGGATCAAACAAGTCAAGCCAAGGTCACAGCAAAGTCAGAGACTGCATGAGACGGAGCAACGCAATAGAAACTCCAAAATACGCTCTTCTTGACAAGAGCAGCCTTCCAGAGTTGATGCGATGATTAACGAATTGAAAATACGACCGCAAGGGGATGCAATTTCACGATTTCTTCCATGAAGATGATGACAGCGATTATCGCCGATGGGCCTCAATGGAGGTACTATTCGGAAGTGTGGCGGGTACAGTTAGGTACGGTGAGCATGACGGATTCATCTGATTGGAGGGCTGCCACTCGTGTACGTGTGAGTGTGTGGTGTGTCTTGGACCCAGTCACCAGTCTACCACCACCCCGGTCAGACATTAGGCGCAGGTAATCAAGGTAATCATTATATCACAACAAGGAACAAGAGCGAAGGGACGTTCGCCGCAACGGGGGAGGCAAGGGAGGGGAAACCCGAGATGGCATCAAGCGTGACAGATCCGGTAGAGAGTCTTTTCACCATCGATGCTGATAAGCGGAAGACCATTAAAGGATGGCCGAGTTTCATTTGAAGCCAGGTTCCGAAACTCTCTGATGTGAGGACGGGTACGCGGTTGAGAACGGAGGAGGATGAACGATGGATGGATGTGTGTTTGGTTACTAGATTTGGTTGGACGGGTTTGTACTGTACACGCACACCCACACACTCCTTCTTTCTTTCGTCTTCCTCCGTCTCCCTATCCCTACACTCTAACTCAGATAATACGGTTTGAGTGCTTTCATCGAGCGAGCGATTTGGAGTGGTTCAGGTGGCTTTCCTGTCTACCTGTGCCTGGCTGAGCATTGTGTTCAGGTTCTCCTCACATTCCTTGCCCTCATGCTCGCCGCTAGAGACAGATGCCTTGGCTCAATTCACGTATCTAACTTAACCTTGCCCCGACTGACATACTTTGACAGCGCGCTGATAGTTTATTACGTCTCATCCATCAATCAATGGTCCAATTCCATCGCGCTGATGGAGATGTAGAGAACTTGGGGGGGCAACAAACTGGAATAAGACCGATCGGATTACAGAGCAAGCATGATTAGGTAGTTAGCATGGCATTATTGGATTTGTATTCGCGTGCGTCTACATCTGCCTCAGCTGAGTATTGCTAAACTACGCTTCCATGCTTTCATGTACCTTAGTCTACTAAGACGGATCCCCCCGGTCAACCTTTTTGCCTTTTTGATTGCCCTTCCCGTTTTTACCTGGCTTGGTTTTCTGGTGCTGTACTGCGTAGGTCGTCGTACTCGTTCGTTCGATCATTCGTCGTATCTGTACTTTCTTGTCCTTTTAATTACTTTTGCTATGTAACTCGGCCGGTCGGTCGCTCACTCAGTCACTCACTCTCGGTGCCACGTTCCAACCAGAATACCTTTTACCCACTGATTTGCCTACTCGATCGTCTCTACGGGGGCCCAGATCTCGTTCGCCCGCTTCCGTGATTTCCCTTTTCCCTCTCTCCCTCCGAACTCATATCCCCTTCTCTGCGCAGTCGACCACGCACACACACACACAAGTGCTATTACTTGCTAGCCTATTTTTTTTTCTCATTAGCCCAGCTTCCTTCCCTTTCGATTGCTTACCTCCTCTCCCTCTTGCTCTTGCCATATCTATGGCCTGCCTGGTACCTTACCTCACCTTACCCTCTTTCTCACCAAAAGTAGTCATTGAGGTACTCTACACCTAAACCGACGACGACGTTAGCTCGCTTTTTTCACTCAACTTCCTTCCCACATCCCCCTTCCTCTTTTTCCCTCTCCCCCTTCCCATCCTATCCGGAGACCGGGGACCTAATTTGAACAAGTCCCTCCATCAATTCTAGGCCGTCGCTTCCGTTCAGTCTCGGTCGGCTTGTTTCTCGCCAACCCATCGCAACTCTGCAACTCAGTTTCTCTCTTTATCCCAGTCTCCCTACCATCAGACGCGACTCAAAGGGAAACCAACTTCCGGTCCACCCACCACTTGTTCCATCATCCACTTGACTTTGGTGTCAACTCTTACCGTCTACCCAACTCGCCTCGCCGTTTGTTGGTTCTTCGCCGCCTCCCGCTGTTCACGCAGAATTGCAACTGATCCATCTGCTGCTTACCTGCTTGCCTGCTTGTTTAATAAAGACCAGGGCTCAGTGTCATATTCGTCACGCCACCCTAGGGAGATAACCGACAAGTTTCGAGCGAAAAAAGGCGGAACTCGGCCACCGCACTCAACTTCACTCACAGCCAAGGCATCCTTTTTTTAAACCCTCCTTCTCACACCCTTGAGGGCCCGACCGTCTGCAACTTTGTCAAATCTTCTTGCCCATCCACAGACACACTCGGCTTTTTACTTTCTCTCTTCTCTTTGCACAAATCCATCAAATCGTCAATCGGTCTACCTGGACTCGAACAAGATACTTTGGTAAGAGCGTAACAGAGAGAAGAAGAGGTCCAAGTGTCGTTTCTCTCTCTTACGCATTTCTGCAGCCAACTCTTGCCGCTCTTCATTTCCCCTTCACCCAGCCCATACCAGCCCAGTCTTTGTCCAGGCTATCATCCCGCCTTGTCTCACAAATAAACCTGTCGGGTGGTCGGCAGTCTCGCACCCCATCCATACAAGCAGACACGTACGCCCAGCTAAGTGAGCCTGCTTTACTCTACTTGGTTTCCGTCAACTTTCAAGCTTCATCTCATCACCCCTTTATCCACGAAGGGAGGTCTCATCAGCAACACCGTCATCCCCTCATTTCTTCCCATCTTGCCGCACAGAGCAGTTGTCAACAAGACGAAGCTCAAGATGAAGACTCAACGGGCGGCGACAAAAGCCGTCACGGTCAAGAAGCGCATCAACAACAAACACAAGAACGCCGCGTACAAGGTGGACAAGTTTGAGGTTCCCGAAAACCCAACTCTTGAGGACATCAAGCACGCCGTCGGTCTTCAGGAACTAGAAGAACGCGTCAGAGATGCCAAAGAATCTGCATGGGAAACCGACTCTCTGCTGGAGGATGCCATCGCTGAGATGGGCGATGCAAAACTTTCCTCGGATGGTAGGTCTATCTCAGTCATTCATTCACCCACTCACACACTGCTCATGCAGGCGAGCATGACAATTCCTTGCTACCTATGTTTTGGGGATTACGTGTTCCTCTTATTACTCACTCACCCTCGATCGCTTCTATTACCTGATTGCTAACTCGTGCCTGAAAGATCCGGACAGCTGCACGCCTGACGAGGCCATGGGCCTGCGCCACCAATTAAGAGCGCTTGGTCCCGCAGAATTCTGTAGAAGAACCGTGGACGCCGGACGCTACACGGCCAAGAAGCTACTATCGGCCTTTGGCCTCAAGCCTCCCGCCTTCCTCGAGGGTGCCGAAGATGAGGCCTACTTCAGTCTCTTGTCGCTGGCCATCAGCCGAGAGCTGTCTAAACGCGCAAAGTTGTTTCGCTTCAACACGGTGGACGACGCCGTGGACCTGCTACAGCGGAGCAAGAACATCATCGTCCTAACTGGTGCGGGCATCTCTACCTCGCTCGGCATTCCCGATTTCCGCTCAAAGGGTGGTCTCTATTCTCAACTTGAGCATCTGGGACTCAACGACCCGCAGGAGGTGTTTGACATTTCCGTCTTTAAGCATGACCCGACCATCTTCTACACCGTTGCCAAGGACATTCTGCCGTCGACCAACCGTTTTACACCGACTCATGCCTTCATCTCCATGCTTGAGAAGAAGGGCAAGCTGCTTACCAACTACACTCAGAACATTGACAACCTTGAGGCCAAGGCCGGCATCTCTCAGGACAAGCTCATCCAGTGTCACGGTTCCTTCGCAACCGCGACTTGTGTTCAGTGCCGCTTCAAGTGCGACGGCGAAGAGATCTTTGACGACGTTAAAGCTGGCAAGATCCCGCGTTGCCCCCGCTGCATCCAAAACCTTCGTCCCAATGGCAGCAGTAAGCGCAAGCGCTCGGCGGGCACCGAAAGAAAGCGCCGCAGGTTCAGCTCCGACGATTCGACGTCAGACGGCGAGTACGACATCCCTAGCGTAGGCGTTATGAAGCCCGACATCACCTTCTTCGGCGAAGCGCTGCCTGATGAGTTCAGCAGGCGTCTGACGGAGCACGACCGCGACAAGGTGGACCTCGTCATCGTTATCGGTACGAGTCTGAAGGTGACGCCGGTGTCTGAGATAGTATCCTGGCTACCGGCCAACATCCCCCAGATCTACATCTCGCGCCAGGCCGTCAATCACATCAACTTTGATATTGACCTGCTTGGCGACTGCGACGTCGTCGTCTCGGAGCTGTGCCGCCGCGCCGGTTGGCCGCTCGAGCACGAGATGGTGCCTCAGGACCAGGTCGTCAAGGTGAACCCGGACGGCGGGTGCGTGAGCAGACACGTCTTTGAGGTCGTCAACCCTAAGCAGCCGCCGCCGCCTATGCAGCAAATCTCCAAGCTCGAGACTGAGTCCGAGATGGCGAAACCGACCAAGGGACCCAGAAAGCCTCGAAGGTCGAGAGACGCTGTCTGAGACTGGAACTTCTTCTTGCAAGTTGTCAACCACCTCACCCTCGCTCTCTTGCTCGCTTTTCTTCTTTCTGTCCGCTCATTGTCTCTACCTACAGATACTCCCTTGTGCCCTTCTCACTTTCTCAGACAATTGCATCTGAGAGCGCTTCACGCGGCACCCGTCAATGGTTTAGAAGGGGGAAGAATGCCCATATACGGTACCTGATTCGACGAAACGACACAAAGCCCCCAAAACACAAGACGGAACGGCACTATTGCCGGTAGCAGCAATGCAAGCGTCAACGAACAGCCTGGTACCGCAACCTACACTCACTGCCCCCGGTCAAGTCTCGGGGCTTTGTGGCTGCGGGCCATCGCCACGTCGCCCCCTTCTCGGTTTTGGCCAGACACAGCGCGTCAGGCATAAATGGGTTTTTTCCCTATTACTCCACAGCACAACACAGGGCAGCACCGCGCCACTTCGGTCAGCGAATCCGTAGTTGCGCTCTGCACCAGCCCTCTCACCCTAAGTAATCTCGACCTTTTGGAGTCTCTTCATATGGCAGCCAAAACGGTCATCGCGTTGTTCCCTTTACGGAGGAATACATCAACTCATAACCTCAAACCTCAAAACGAGGTTTTCTTTTTCTTTCCTGATACCACAGATTGCGATGTTTTGAGCCCTTTTTTCACTTGCACTTGCTTTATTATTTTGTCGGCTTTTAATTCGAAAACGGAGGTGGAACAGGGCTGACGGAGGAAAGGAAGAACGTGGCGGAAACGGCGTTTGAGGCTCTCGCGAAAGGAAAACCCATGCACGGTCTGGTGTGTCTTGTGTCTTTGATTTGTTTCGTTTTGTCAGAATACCTAGAGAGAGGGGCCCTAGAGAGGCTTTTTTCCCTTTTATTTTACGCGCGCACCCGCGCAAATGTCCGTTTTTCTCTAGAGACAGAAACTCAGACAGAAAGGTTCCCGTTTTTTGATAGTTGATCAATGGATTGCAATCATCAAGATGTCAACGATACTAAGGAGTTCAACATGTGCACTTTGACGATGGTCTCTGAACAAGCTATATCGTAAGGTACATACATAGATGTGAATGTAAGCCAAGTCAGCGCAGAACGGCCCAGACGAGGCAACGCTGGTTGAATCTCGAGTAAGGCAGCAGTGGTGACTCAAGCATTCTGTCACCTACCCGTCTTACATGCGCCAAAGTGCATCAACCCCCGCGAACCATACTTCAAAAGTCGAGTGGCAACTCAAGGCTGTCCAAACAGCCTGCTCACCGGTGTGACCTACCCAGCAAGGCAACCGAACAGCGCAACTTACTATACGAACGACTGATTGAGGGTAGCCCGGTGCTTGGCAAGGAGGGCGGGGGCGGGACTGAGGTTTGGTTGCTTGCGTTACCTTTACGTGTATCTGCCTAGCAGGCTACCACGCATCACCGTTCTTCTCATTGAGCCTCACTCGCGTGCTTATACCTTACCTTGCCTCACCGACCAACCCCCTTTCAAGCCTCGATGGTGGCGGTAAAGCCACTTACCTTTGCCCTGCCTTGTATTGGTCACAGGATATCTGGGTGAAGTTCACTACAGGGCGGGGGCGGACGGGAGGGTTGATTCGGGGATGTAAGTGCCGGGTTCAAGCGAGAACTTGCAACAATGCCTCAAGGCAAACACGACACCGTGATCAACGAGGATACATCGGATGGCACTATCAGCTGACAACCAGAAGCCGTATCTTCAGCAGCAAACCTGCCTAGAAAGCCAGCTCGACGTTGTTGCGGTCACCGCATCCCTAAGTAGGATTCATTTAGCCATGTAATCGGGCTAAATTGACAGTGTGCCACTGGCAACCATGGCGGTAAACCAACCTCGCCCCGTCATCGGCTGCATCTGGTTCTTTGTGTCCGAATAGTGTTGATGTTCAAGTTCGTCTCGTATACCTACTAGGATCAGCGACACCGCCACGAAAAGTGTTTCCAACACCCGCCCGCTCGCCAAACCTGTCTTTATCGAGTAATTTCTGGTGAGTATTGTTGGTTTCTCGTGGAGGCATGAAGTTAGACAGTCAGGTGTTGAGATCTCTGCAGGGGGGTAACTAACTCGCCTTCCAATCTTTCGACATGACTGGCCAAACCATTCGATGCCTCGTGATGAGACCTCAATCAATCACTGTCGTGGATCGTGGGTTCTCATGGATTCAGTCAAAGTAAGACGGCTTCAACCGTTGTCTGCTCAGCTACTGCCTCTATCGCTCATTGTATACAAGCATTGCCCAGCTGTTTCGCCCTGAGAACTTCTGCATCTCAAGAATCCACCTTTCACTTCACATGTCCCTTAGAGTTGCGAATTGAGAAATTCGTCTAGCCAGGTCGTTAAGAATATTTTTTACTGATTATGAGTTCCCTCTTAATATGTTCAGGCTTTCGTCCCCTGGTTATCCTGTTCGGTCTGCATACGGTCATCGGTCTAATAATAATGTGAAAGCAAAAAAGTGAGGGCTCAAAGCCTCCTCAAACGGGATGACCGGTTGTCGCAAAACCCCGCGCATGAGAACCAAATACTCGTACAGATACATTGCGCGCTCTGAAATTTTTCTTTTCGCTCACAAACTCCACGTGACCATATGTAAGTGATGTCGCCAGTACCGGGCAACAGTTAATGTACTCCTCATTGCTTGGCCGTCTTCTCATCTCCGGCCTTCTCGTTTGTGGTGGTTTCCTCCCGGGGTTCTTCTCTGATCGAGTTCTCTCGAGAGACCCCTCTCCTAACATTATTGTCAGAGTCGTCGCTATCCCGACGTCTCCGTTCGGCAGGCTGCCAGTTGGCAGCAATGCCAGCAGCCACAATGCCGGCCATGACGGTAGGAGCACCGAGGGCCGAGTTGGAGCGGCTGCGCGAGCTGCGAGAGCGCTTGCGCGACTCGGGTGTTGCGGCGAGGGAGCCGAAGCTGTCCTCTCGTGTGGGCGTAGAGGGTGACTTGATAGAGTTGCTACGCGAGTGTGACGGGCTGCGCGAGCGAGCAAAGGTTTCGCGGGGGTGCTGTACAGCGAACTTCAGGTTGTTCAAGCGTCCACCCTTCATGCGCTTGATGAATGTCAATTCATCGCGGACGTCGGACAATGGCTCCGGATACATCTCGAACTGCTCCTCATCTGAGACCGTGAGGCCCGGAACGGAGTCCTTGGCACGGCGTTTGAGGTAATCGGGGATCAAACGCTCAATAAGAGCGTCGGGGATGAGACGGATGACCACGCCGAAAGGAATGGAGATCAATCCAAGGATAATGGCCATAGCCCACTGGGTTCCGGTTTGACCCTCGTCGGCGATCTGGAACGCGGCTCCGCCAAAGAAAACAATGAGGATCTGTCCACCGATCATAATGGCGCTGATGCCAACGAAGAACATGTTCTTTGTCAAGCCCTCGAAGATGTTGAAGTTGTTGTCCAAGCGACGGTTGCTATCAAGCTGTTAGTTCCTTGAGTTCGAGATAACGAAGAGAATTAACACTTACTTCCACTGATTGAAGATCTGCATCCACACGAAGGTATTGAAAACCAACGTGGCGATCTGATCATCAGGGATGTGCTCCGGACCAGGAACAACAGTCTCCTTTCCGTAGAAAAGCATAAAGGTGATGGCGAGTTGGTAGACGGCCTGTCCGAGAATCATCTTCCACATCGTAGTTGTAATGATAGATGCATTGCGTCTTTCAGGCTTTCTGTCAAGAACGCTGTCTTGGGGAGGATCAGTAGCGAGGGCAAGGGCTGCGAGCGTGTCCATGATCAAATTGACCCAAAGCAGTTGCACAGCAGTGAGGACTGAAGTGCTGCTCACGGCAGTGACAAACGTGAGAATGACGGCGGTAACGTTAACCGTAAGCTGAAACTGGAGGAATCGTTTGACGGCATCATTGACAGCACGACCCCACTTCAAAGCCTTAACGATAGAGTTGAAGTTATCGTCCATAAGAATAATTGACGAAGCTTCCTTGGCAACCTCAGTACCCGCAATTCCCATGGAAAAGCCAACGTCGGCTGTCTTGAGCGCAGGGGCGTCGTTGGTTCCGTCACCGGTCACAGCGACAATGTCTCCCTTTGCCTTGAGACGCTTCACCAGGATTCGCTTGTCCTCAGGACTCGAGCGGGCGAGAACGCAGAGACGCGGGATAATGGCCTCTTGCTCAGACTTGGTGAGGTTGCGGAACTCAGGACCCTCCATGACAAGCCCATTAGGTTGCAGAATACCACACTCCTTAGCGATAGCTTCAGCCGTAAGCTTGTTGTCTCCAGTGACCATGCGAACCATAACGCCCGCCTTCTGGCACAGCTTAACAGCCTCCGGAACTCCCTCGCGCAAGGGATCCTGGATACCAACCATACCGATAAAGGCCATCGTTCGGAACATGAAATCGAAGTCGACCTCGCCTCCATCAACGCGACGGGCATTGCGAGGGGGCCACTGTTCGAAGTCCCTGTAGGCAATGCCAATGGTTCGGAGTGATCGGGAGGCGTAGGTATTGATTAGGGTGTTGACCGTCTGGAAGTTGGCCTCGGTCATCTGTACAAGGGTGGCATCCTGAGACGGGTCACGGAAAATCTGGTTGCACTTTCCGAGAACAATCTCGGAAGCGCCCTTAACGTAGACTCGGGCACCTCCTCCGGGAAGCTGAACGACGATTCCCATACACTTGCGACCAGAGTCGAAGGGAATGAGTTGAAGAATCTTTGCGTTCTCGCGTTCCTCAGCAACAGGACCCATGCCGAAGTAATCACGCGCCAAGAGAAGCAGCGCGGTCTCCGTCTTCGATCCAACGTATGTCTTCTCGCCGTCAACCTCACCTTCAAAAGCCGTAGAGTTGAGTGAGATCGAGTTGACGAGGATTTCTTTGACCGGTGCACTGAGCATCTTGGCGAATTCCGCAATCGAAATATCAGCAGAGGCATCGAGAGCAGAATCATCGCCATCGTTGGATCCGTCAGGACGCAATCCGCCAAATCGGTGGGTAGTACCAATAGTGCCAGCAACGACTTGCATCTTGTTTTGTGTGAGGGTGCCGGTCTTGTCGGAGCAAATGGTGTTGGCATTTCCCATGACCTCACAAGCCTTGAGGTGCCTGACAAGATTCTGATCCTTCAGCATGCGTCTCGTAGCGAACGAGAGGGCGAGCGTGACGGCTAGGGGAAGTCCTTCGGGTACAGCGACAACGATAATAGTAACAACGGTAATGACGATGTTGATAAAATCCTGTCCCTTTTGAGCTGGGGTGACCGAAGCCGGTTGTTTGGGGAGCTTGACGAGGAATTCGATGAAGAGGACGATGAAGAGCAATAGACCTGCAGCGCCTCCGAGCTTGGCGATGTATTCGGCAATGATGTTAAGCTTCGACTGTAGGGGTGTAACCTCCGGGTCCTCGTCCAAAGCCATGAGAGTCTTGCCGAATGATGAGTGGATACCGGTAGATGTAACCATAAAAGTGCCAACGCCTTCCATGATTCTGGCGCCAGATTGAATAAAAGGATCCAGTTTCTTCGGGTCATCGCCGTTCTGAATAGCCGTGAAGACTTCCTCGCCGTTTCGCTTCTTGATGATGTCCGATTCTCCCGTAGCTTGAGACTCGTCACACTTGACATTGAAGCCTTCGATCAAGATTCCGTCGACGGGGATCAGATCACCCGGCTCAAGGTGAATCACATCTCCAGCCAAAATATCGTGTACTGACAGCTCGATGGTCTTTCCCGAGCGGACGACCTTGACGTTGCGATCCTTCTTCCTCTTGTTCAACTTGGCGAATTGCCTCTCTTTGCTGTAGTCGTTGAGGGATCCCACAATAACAACGATGGCGATAGCAACCACAATAGCAACACCTTCGACCCATTCAACCTTTGGTTCGTCGGGAGCGTGCGGCAAGCCCACTGTCTGGTAGATACCAATAGCGAGTGAGACTACCGCGGCAGCTGTCAGAAGCATGAGAACCTTATCCTGGTATGTAATCCACATTAGCTGAAGAAGAGTCTTGCCCTTCTTCTCGGGGATCCGGTTGTCCTTAAAAATGCGCTTGCGATCAGAAAATCCGCCGTCGTCATGCTTAGCGTGGTGGCCAGTGTTTTGTCTCGCGGGGGCTGCCGGAGTTTCGCTCTCCTTGAAATCCCCAGATGAATGAATGTGAGCCGTTGCGTCGTTGAAGGAGACTTGACCGTCTAGGTGGACTTCATCCAAGCTCAATCCGGCCTTGCGATCACTGCGAAGACCCTTTGCAATACCAGTCAAACCTCCAAGAGCGTAGTATGCGCCCAAACTCTTCGGGTTGAACATCTTGTTCAGCTGGCCAGGCGTAAAAGCAAAAGGGTTATTCTCCGCAACGAAATCTCCTTCACTGCCCTTGTCTGGACGCAGGGCGCTATCGTCGTTCATAATCTTCTCGTTGGACATGGGACTGGGCTTCATAGTCTTTTCGGTTGACTGGCTCAGTACAGCAATGGTCTCGCCCTGGGAAGACATGTCGTCGGAATCGATAGAATTCTGTCGAGAGCGCAAGTTGCTGGGAACAGCCAGGAAGGCACGGTCGTTGCCTCTCAAGGTCGCAACAGGACTGGACACATTGTGCGGGCTTTGGGGCCTGCTGCTATCCTTGGCGTCGAAAGAGGTGTCGGCACGAAGCTTCGGTTTCGATGGCTTCTCTTGTGAAGCTGACCACGGCGCACCAGCACCTTCCGGTACGGTCGTCGGACTGACTGCCTCATCTTTGGGCGATCCGGGTGAGTTGGACACGTCTTGTTGGGTTTCCTGAGCCATGGCTGGTGCAGGACTTGTGGTGTCGACACCGGTGGCAGACGGGTCTATGGTAATGGTCGGGCTACAGAGAAGAGAGTCAGTCCTATATCCAACTAATCGCTCAGAGGCCAACGGATGCCGCTGACTGCAAACGTACGCTCGATTCCTCCGTTGCGGCGCAGGGCCATCTTCGGGGGTAGAATTCGGATCCATGATTCCCAATCAAGCTCGACACTGCCGCCTTGTTGCGGCGGCGTGTGATGGTGAAGCGAGGCAAATGAAGTGCGCCAGTGTGTACGAAAGAAGTGGTAGCGTGAGGCTGTGCCGGTAAAGGAAGGAGGCAGCCGGGAGGCGAAAGGAGCGACGATATCCAAAGGAGGTAAAGTATATTTTTGAAGATACAATGGCGAAAACCTGTCGTCAATGTTGAAGACTAGGTTGAGGTTGGCAGGCGTGTTGTAGTTGTATTATGCAGAGCGCAAGGGCGCGTCGTGGTGTGATATCGATGAGGGTATCCGCGGTCGTTGGTCTCGACAGTGGATATCGGCGAGTGCGTATTACTGCACGACGTCCTAAGATGAGTAGAAGTGGTTTTGGTAAAGGAAAACGTTTGGTATTTCCTTCTCTCACTCTACATTGCGGGACGCAAAGGAATGGGCAGCCAAGCAATCAGAGAAAAGAGACAAGGCGAGGGAATGATGCGATGGGAGAAAGATGGGACGTTGAAGTTGGTTTGAATCAATCCAAGTCCATTCCCAATTCAAAGCGCCTACTAGGAGCCAAGACTGGAGTAAGAAGAGCTTGAGACAAGCCAGCGACTAGATCAGGTGGCTGTCTTGGTAGTGATGTATCCGTTCGGCACGGCCTGGGAAAGAGGGACCTTGGGGGCAAATGAACGAAATCCAGGACGACAGACACAGGATGGGATGAAGAGGAGGTTTTGCCCCTTGTCACGTCTCCTCTGTGTTGAGCATTTCGTGGGAGGCGGCGGTTGTGCCATGCCATGGCATGGTCTAGAAAAGATGAGTGAGAGTTTGGATCTCCCACATGTGGTGCCAAGAAGGAGGCAGTGCAAAGAAGTATACCTCATTGGACGGAGGGAAGGTCCCTACAGGGGTAAGCCGGTGTACTTTGTACTGGGAGTCCTGCTACTCCGTTTGCGGGTTAGCCTGCCCGTCGTTGCTGGAAGGGGTCCCAGTAAGGTACCTAGGTAGCTTGTCAGGAGAAAGAAGCTCATCAACGCCGTACACTTCATGTCTTGACGCCTCCCATACCCATTGCGAAGCTACCTCCCTCTACATATGGAGCCCTGGCTCGCTCTCTCCTCATCACCAAATGGTGGGAAGATCCACCCCGGCCCCGTGTGGGGCAACTTCCCATTTCACACGGTACGTTGCCAAGGCCAAAGGTACCTTCTTCTTTTTTTTCCCCCTTCTTTTCCACCCGTCGTGGTAGTGACGCCCTTTCCAGCCAAGTCCTTCAAATTCATTCCAATAGAACAGACCATCATTGTTGCTTTTCCCCCAAGGGTTGGGTCCCTTGAGACGTTCAGATTCTGATTCAAAAATTGACGCCAGCCGAATCGAACCGGCTATATTTCCAATATCCCGATTCCCCCGTTCCCCAAACATTGGACTCGTCTTGCTGCTGACTTCACAGGTTGTCAAACTTCATTCCTCAACTTACTACAGACACTCCAAACATCTGGGCGGTTACTACTATTACCTTGCCTATATATGATGCGTAACCAGGTGGACTTATTGGCCTAGGGTGTTTTGCTTGGAACAGGCCCTGAATCAGGACGAGAACGCGACGACTGGATAGCACATGCTCGCTCTTATCAAATTCAACGGATACCTCTCGCTCCACAAGCCCACCATCGGCGCTACCTCAACTTTGACAGGAGCGTTTCTTTACTCCGTACGGAGCACGCAGTACGCATCTGCTTCATTTGTTTCGACATCGTGTTTCTTCGCCGCTGCGGCACCGACTCTTACAGCGCCCCATACGAATGCTGCGTAGGCACTCCTCGTACTCTGTACAAAGTCCCACCTATCATCTGGCCATGGGTCTTGCACTCGTACCCCCAAGAACCGACCTCCATCCTCGAGGCTGAGCGCCAGCTTGACTCCCGACGCCCGGCGGCTATTGAACAACCTGTCAAGCTACGAAGGAATCAAGCTCCCTTTTGAGAGACTCCAAACGAGGACTGGCTCGCCTTGGCTGATACTGTTAGTCGCCTCACGGATAAGCAACTTGAATCATCGATGAACCTAGGGCTAGCGTCTTCTGAACCTGCGACTAGAGGAGCAGAGCAGCACAAGTTGCCCACGCCCATTAACTCCCGTACAAGTCCAGCATCTCGATAAGATCTGATTCAGCCATCTTGGTAGTCTTCAACATGACCATCTACTTAAGTTCTGGCAAAGTAATTGGAACTTTCGAATCCAAAAACACCCACAGTGCGACAAAGTGTTCGATCGGGCCAGACCTGCGGGTGGAATGGCAGGCTGCAGTGGCCCAAGATCGACAGCCAGAACAGCATCCTGCAGTACAAAGCTTTTACATTTCCAATAATCGACCAGCTTCTTACTCTGTAAGCCCCCTTCCCCCGTGCCGCATCTTCTCTCTCTTGGTCTGATACACACGACGGCTTTTCCGTCGTCTGGGGGCTTCCAGGGCTCTTCCATGTGGTGCTGAAGCAGGCGTTCTCGGGAGGCATACCAGCCATCCACGTCGAACATAGCGCTTTCGCCTTCTTTCAGACACTTGTGCCGTATCACATCTAGATGATTGTGCCTTGCCTCTTGTCTGGGTTGGTCCGGGGTACCGGGGATCATGGGCATACCAAAAAGCAAGGACGTGCCTTGTTGAGCGAGTTCGGATCATCGCATTCCAACAAGCCGTCTCGGAAGAGATGAGATAGATGTTGCATCACAAATCGCATCTGTCATTTAGGCCACTTTGCAGGATACCTCGCAGTGCGCCTAGGCAATGGGTTTTGCAAATCTCACATTCGCATTGCCTGACCTGCACTGGACAGAAATGGCGCCAATAAGTAGACGGAAATATGGCGACATTGACCATCCTGTTCTGTGTTACGGCGGTTAACTGGCTCGTTGGGATGTGCGCGCTGGCTTGCCCAGTCTGGCAGGTCGGGACCGGTTGTTTGATACGAGCAGCAGACAATGCACCAACGAATCAACCATCGGCCGGCTGAGGTGGTGTCCGCTTGGTGGTCTGTCATCTCTTTCAAGGCCGACGTCAGGTACGCTACACTGTTCGTACTGTCTCTACGGATACAGATATGCGACTACGAATACAAAGTACCGGCTCGAGGTTCAGAGTTCAACAGCGGGGCAACACAGCGACAGATGCCAAAACGCCAAGACAAATTTTCATGCCAACGCTCGATGGGGCTCTTTAGGATTGCACTCGAACCTGCATGGCTTGTCCCTTACCTTATCTCAAGGTTGGACAAGGTCAGGGTTTGCACGAGATGTGCGCCGATGCTCGCCTCAACTAAACTCCATGGTTTGAAATTCCACGAATTTTTCTCAAGGTGTAAAGTTGCATTGATTGTACGGATATTTGCGCAACAGCTTCTTCTTTTTTCCACTCCTCTTCTCGGTCTGTCTTGACGGGCGGCACGGCGGCCACACCACAATCGCCGCACAAGACCAAAAGAGGCACCGCAGCCAGGCTCCTACTCGACGATCATGCACAATGACGAGCGACTCGATTCCTAGTCGTAGCTCTCACGTTAGATGGAACGCCCCTCCTCAGATTCGAGAAGGATGGTGTGGCTTACTCCAAGTTGATCGCGCACATCTGACGTCTTACATGAACGGTCTTACTTGGAGCTTCTTCTTCAACACAGCAATTCCTCTCAAACCCGCAGGAGCCAGGAGTAGTAGCATCATCATCATCAGGGTATGTCTCAATCATCATTGAGAGCTGTGCATACTACAGGCGAACTCCGGAGGCACAAGTCCGGGAAGTGGGTGGAAAGCATCAAGTGCTAGGCGAGCGAAACCTTTTACAGTTCAAACTTGCCTTCGAAGCATTTGGGTCCAATTTCTCGGCCATAATTCTACAGTGGAAGAAACGTATTACGGAGTATGGACCCGGGCCAGAGCAGTCAGAAGCAAGCAACAGCTGGATTGACGACCACCCACAATTTTCATCGCATTCCCGAATCCCTTTAGCAGCTGTCTTTGTCAATGAGTGACAACAGGCGAACCGAACCGCTTGGCATCCATAGGCAAGATGATGCCAAGACCAAAGTCGCCAAATTACGACAGTGGCCGCGTCTGTTCAAAGATGAACAATAAGACGGCAGGTTCTCTGATTCATGCCGGATGGGACGTTTCTCCTATTTTGCAGAGGCGCAAGAGTTCAGAGTTGCAGTTGGGTTCTCCAGCGCAATCTTGGCCTGCTCCGCTTGTTTGTTTTGGCGCCCTGGACACGTTGGCTCTGCCTCGAATACCAAATACCATCCCGTGCTCCCCTCGCACCGGAATGGCGGGTGCCCACTACTTAATTCCGTTACCGACATGAGAGGCATCGGGGCCCTGGCCGAATCGGACGGGCATGGGCCACCCGTGGGACGTGGGTGAAGGAGACGGCGCCACGAAGGTCCAGACTTTGGAGTCTCTGAGTCTTTGAGTCCTTTTCTGGAACTCCACATCCCAGCTTCCCGCGAATGCCAGAAACCTACTGTTTCTCCATGGTCGGTCGGCCTTGCCTTGTTGACCACGGGCACATACGATGCCATGCCATGTCATGCTATACTTTGGATTCGTGCCCGTTCTCGGTTACCGCTCTGGGCGCCCTAGGTGCCCGGTCTCTTGACACAAAGTGAGTCGATTCGCTTAGCAGGGCTTTCTTCTCTGCATTGTCATCATCATTCCGGTACTTGATCTCCCGGCCCTAACCCTCGAGGAACCCATCTTGACCTGTGGAATGCTTGAACGCCTAGATGTGCAATAGTATCCACAAAAATGCCTGCCACCTTCGTTTTACCTAGTGCACGTCTGTGTGTGTCCTGCCGCGGCAACCCAGCTCTGGTGAAGGCCTAACAAAGACAAACCCATTCATCTCACAACTTTTGACTACAGCCTCTGGATGCCTGACCGCAGTCCGATTCCAAAGAAACTAGCCGCTCTGGATTCGGTAGCCTCGACGCCTGAAAAGGCAGAATTCCCATTCAGCCGACGAATCCGCGGTCACGGCCAGCATCAATCCGTGGTCAACCTGGGAGTACCACATCTTTGCTCCGGTTGCTTGTCTCCCCAACATCCGAGAGCCGACGAAACATCAACATCCAACCATCAGCCAATGCCGTCTAACACCGTCCACCATCCGACCCGAGGCCTCTTCACCTCCGCATCTTGCCCCGCATCACACGAAGCTGTCGGTGGTATAATCACACATTTGAATTCGGCCCAATCAACTAACAACTCAAAAAAGAAGTAGTCAACTACAGAAGACACAAACCTTATCGTTTCTCATCCGAAGAGCCAGTTTGCGTCTTGACTCGCCAGCTAAACAGAGTCCCAAAAGACTTCAAACTACCTTTCCAGTCCACTGCGGTAGTTGACTTCCAGCTGAGCCGGAGGTGGCCTTCCAAGCTGTCAAGTTTCGCAACCCGCTCGGTTCCCCCTCTTAGACTCGCAACTCGTGATATTCAGCTCGACCTTCACCCCTTCTAGATTCTAGATTCAGGTCTAGACTTTCCCAAACTCAACACAACCCCAACCACAACCACGACCACAACCACAGCTGCCGATGAGTGAGCGGCCAAAAAGACAACGCTCGAGAGTCCACCTTGCCCCCTCCATTTTGCAACCTACCGCCCGCCTGCCGGACTAGACTGAGATACGTTCTCCGCTATATCTCACAGCGGCAAGGTATCATCTAGTAGTTGATCTCTGCATGACCAACCGGCTTGCGCGCCGTCATCAACAGACGTCGATTGAATGAGGCTGAGCAGCTTCGGAGCGTGGGAGCGAAACTTTCTCGGCAATCACTGCAACCCAGAGAATTCCTTGATACCCAATCATTCAAACGAGGGAAGGAGAAACATCGGGTCGGCCTGCGGGTGGCGATCTGACACTCAACCCTCACGGAAGGTAACTTGAGGCTCCCTCATGACCCCGTAGGCTCTCTCCTAAACCTCGGGTTTTCGATTCAATCGGCGGCCTCTGCAGCTGAAAAAGACATCGTGTTCATCGACACTTTGTTCATATCGAATACGCGCTTTAAGCAACATGCCTCAGCTAGGCCACTCTTGTGACACCCAGTCGAAGAGGCAACCCGGTTCGGTAGGTATATACCAAGCCAGTCATTGAGGCTGTGCTCGCCGGCACAAGATGTTTCACTGCAGCCAACCACGTGGTGGTGTGTAGTGACCCCCAATGTCTGACGACCCGTGGTGAGATTCGACCTGGTGTCACCGAAACAAACCCGTCGAGACAATCTTCCCAGACTTTCTCGTTCTCGCAGCGCCCGCCGCGCGATACTATTGTCCGGGATTTGCGGATTGTCGTGTGTGTATGTGTGTGTAACAGTGTGAGAGGGCGTGGCGTCAGTTTGCCTTCCCGCCGCCAACGGGCTTGCGGGGCCGCAAGCGAAAGGCGGTCAGCTCACTGTCCGAAATCTCCGGCTGCAAAAAACAACTTACAATAGCTCTCTTGAACGAGCACATGACATCTGAACAAGTTTAATCTCATCCAAACCTTTCTTTGGCTCGAGTAATATTGAACATTCAATGACACAACAACCGAGCACTGCTCTTTTGAAAAAGAGAGAACATGAAAAAGAACATGGTTCGGTTGTGCGTGTGTACTTTGCGCTACCCCTTCTTGGCAACGCTTGGCAAACGTTTAGATACTGTGCTTGCATGCAGCAATGCCTCCATCCCCAAGGGACTCCAGAGTCCAAGGAGATTTTTTTTTTTTTTAGATTTTTTTTTTTTAAAAAAAGCCAAGTCGATATCCTTTCCTTAGTTCCCGCAAGACTTGGCATGCCATACAGCATTGGCAAGGCGTTAGAGGCAGATCGTTACGTCTTGGCAATTTGCGACATCACGGGGAATTGGCGTGATGATTATCTCAACGACAGCCAAGGTTATGAAATTAGGAAAATGAAGCCCAAGGTTTTTTCCTTCGTCCTTTTTTTTTAAAAAAAAAAAAAAAAAAAGGAAAAAAGAAAAAAAATTGGAGGAAGGGGGGAAGTGCTTTATCTGCCTGCCAAGAAATTGCGTGATGGTCTGGTAAGGTTTCCGATGATATAGCATTATGGTGAATATTTAGGTTTGATATTTTTCTTGGTGTTTCTAGATTTGAATATGCGCGCATTGTACCTAAATGTCGATACTCTCTACTTTTTTGTGTGTCTGCCTTGCCTTTTGTTTCCAAACTGCCATCCGTAACTGCCGGCGCCCCGGTCTCAACCTACCAGCCCCAAGAAAGGGAAGCCGAAGGGTTCAACAGAGGGGGAAAAACGCCTTACCGTCTGCCCAAATCAACCCGTCTAACATGAACCATGTCTCCATCTGTAGCACCACCACCACCACCACCGACGGGCTCAACACCAAAGAACCCACCAACGGCCTTCCTCAACGTCTCCTTCCAGAACCCGGCCACCACGCCCTTGAGGTCCCCGCCCGTCTGCTTGAAATCCGGGAAGGAATTCACCTCGAGCAGCCAGGGCCTAGCCTCCTCGTCGACGAGGAAATCCAGGCCAAACACCTCAAACGCGTTACCCAGAGGCTGGAAATGGATCGTCATCTCCCGCGCCGCGGCTTCAAAGACGTCGCCCGTGACGTCGCATATCCGCTCAAAGATGCGGTCCGCCGTGGCGGCGGGGAGACCGGAAGAAGAAGACGAGACGAGATCCCAGAATTGCTTCACGGGCGGCAAGGCAGATTCGCCTCCTCCCTGTAGGCAGGTATTGGTCAGGTGGCCGTCCAGGTCCGCGTCCTCCCATGGCGCGCGGTAGGTCTTGCCCGCGAAGAGCGCCAGCATCGGCTTGTAGACGTAGACGTCGAGGCTCCCGACGCAGAGGACGTACGTGCGGATGTGGAACTTGCGGGCGTCGGAGGGCAGGAGGAGAGGCGGGTGGATGTACGGCTGGGCGACGAAGTGGCGGAGGTGCGAGGTCGTGATGTAGTCTCCTCCTCCTTCGCGGTCACCGGCGGCGGTAGTAGCTCCCTCTTCTCCATCTTCGTCATCGCTGTCAGGCCTCTCCTCCTCCCACTCATCAAAGATACCCTGCAACTCCTCCATCGAACTAAACAGCCGAATCCCCTGCCCGCGATCACTCATCCCCGGCTTCAGAATCCACCACTCCTTTTCGCTCTCCTCTTCAATCCCTTCGTTCTTGTCCATGCTCTCTCGCAGATCAAACGCCTCGACGAGAGCGTCGTCGAGGAACTCGGCGTAGTCCACCTCAAAGTGCTCCCCGCGCTTGACGTGCGTCTTGAGCGACGAGGAAGGGTGCTTGGCGATCCAGTGGTCCACCGTCGACGACAGGTAGTGTTTTCGAATCAAGGCTTTGCGGATGACGTAGCTGTTTACGAGGGACGTGGTCGGGTGCGCGGCGACGTGGTCGAAGTCGAGGGACTCGTAGGGCGCGATGTGCAGGATCTTCGTGTCGGGCGAGGGGAGGCTGACGGCGAGTTTCGCGGCGTTTTCGGCGTCTTCGTTGGCGGTTTCCTGCGGCGCGGGGAGGAGAGAGTATGCTCCAGGGAAGAGGCGTTCCATGGCCTCGAGGATGAGCGGTTGGACGTACGGGTCCTCGTAGTTGATGATGGCGTGGAACTTTGGGTTTGCGACTGTCGTCTCCGTCGTCGTGTCAGTGGTCGACTGCTGCTGGGCACCAAAGGTGGAACTTCGCATAGGAAGTCTGGTCGACGAGCGAGTGATTTCTGTCTCTGCCTTTGCGGGCGC